TTAAATACTTTCATACTGCATTTAAATCAATATACTCCAGTAGCTATATTTCAACACTGTCCATATTTGCATACTGGGTGAGCTCATGTATGTAAAAAAATGACTAATTGTAGAACTAGGATTTTTTATGTTTCGTTTTTTGAGCAAAATCATCGTCCAAAAAGACAGCGATTTAGTCTCTTTTTAGCTTCAGTGGATCACTGGCTGATGGATCAAAACTTCTGTTGCCTGCTTCAATAATCATCAATTGCAATTTTTGTTCAAAATGGAACATTTACCTTGCAAATGTAAAAAGACTCAGATGTTGTGGTTATGAATTTGATGGATTGTCAATTTCTGCTACATTGAGTCATAGTCGTGGGGAAAAGCAGCCAAAAAGTGTACTGGCAAGTACTAATAACGCAATAAACGGTAGAAGAAAACGATCACCGTCAAATTACAATGAGATTAGATGTTTTGAGAATAAATTAATAGAAAACAGAATAACGACAGTCGAAATTATAGATGTATTGAAATTAACAAGTGTGTGTGTGTGTGTAGATAATCCATTTTTCCAAGTTAATCAAAATTATTATAAACAGATAAAAGGTTTCTCTATGTTGTTCTGTGTCCTTTATATGGATAGTTTTGAAAATGAAGCTTTAAATAACGCTAAATGTAAGCCAGAAGCTTGGATAAGATATGCAGATGACATATTCGTGGTGGGGCAACAGCAAACTACAAGAATTTTTCAGTTATTTGAATAGTAAAGAACCAACAATTCAATTAACGTGTAAAATTGAATATAATAATAGCATTAATTTCTTAGAGGTATTAGTTAGGAAAGAAGCAGAAGGTAACTTAGAAACACCAATTTATAGAAAACCTTTTGCTGTTGTTATGCCGCCACCCAAAGAGGCGTGTCATATAAAAACCCAAAAAATATCAGCATTTTATACAGATGTTTATAGAGCTTTAAAATATGTTGAAGACAGGAAAATTTAAATAACGAATTGTTACTAATTAAGTATATAGCCGTTGATGGAGGATTTGAACCAAATATAGTAGACAAAGCATATGAGAAATTTAACATACACTCAAATTCAGTTAAAAATACTACATTAAAATCTGTTTCAGAAAAAAATAAATTCTAAGTATACCTTACGTTCCAGGTTTAACAAGTCAATTATATAAAGTATTTAAAAAGTATCAGAATTTTCACCCTATCTTCAAACCAATAAATATGATAAAAGATATGATAGGGAATGCTAAAGACAAAATAGAATTAACAGATAAAACGGATATATAAAATATAGAATGTGGTAGTGTTTATATTGGTCAAACTAAAAGAAATTTAAAATATAGATCACAAGAACACAAACGTTACATAAGAAATAATAAAATAGAAATTTCATCTATAGCCGAACATGTAAAAACTACAAGATTATGGTAAAAAACTTTAGTTTTAGCTCAGCCTCGAAATTTTATATCATTAAATATTAGAGAAACAATAGAAATATTCTTGGACTAAGCGCGACTAACCCCGTTACTGCCAAAAAACAAGAGGGAATCATCAATAGCCACGGCATTTGAAATTAAACTATTATTCTACGATACTTCCCCCCCTCCCCCGTTTTTTTATTAGCTATATTTTTGTGCGCCAGCAATACAAAGCGTGGAGCGCGCGTATACCCATTCGATTTTATTACTCATCAAGATCTTTACCAGCCTACACTTTCCGATTGAAATTATTTTACGCAGGATCAGATTAGGACAAGTTATGAGACCTTGGGCGTAGTAAAATACATCAATCGAAAAGGTTTGACCTCACGAGTTTAAAACTGTAATTATATCTCAAATCAGTCAAGAGATGACGGAGCTTAGAGCTAAAAGTTTGTACTTGAAAAACAGAGCCATTCTACGAGATAAAAAAAAAAAAACATGCTTTGCACTTTGGGGCCATGGATCCATTATAAGAGCAATGGTCAAATTACACTATTTGATTAGCATAGCTCAGGAGTGAGCAATGGGTGGCTGTCTGCCCTGTTAAATGGGTCAATAACGATGCCAACAGTGTAAAATAAGAAATTTCTTACATTTCAAACACTTAGTATAATATGGGAGTGAATATCAGAAAGAACTAGTGCAAATATTTTGATTCACGTGGCTTGAGTCCATTTGCTATACGTATTTGGAACATTTTAAAACTTATAGATATTTAAAATAATACATCACTAAATGCTCATCTACATCTGGTTATTTCCGTGTTATGTTTTCAATCATAGTTTGTTGAAGTCAACCAATTGTTTCCATTTTACTGTTGTTGTTTTTTGTTTTTCATTTCTGTTATAAATAAGCGAATGTTTATGCAAAAATTTTCATTCTCATTGAAAATAATCAAAGACAAAGAATTCAAAACCATTCAAAAAATAAGCGAATATTTTATCAATTACTGAGACTGGAGTCGCTTATCTTGCAATGAAAGAAGCTTAATAAAATTCAAGTCCCTAGGCACCAAGCAGAAAAGGGGAGGGCACTTCGTACACACTTGGATATTCTTTATTTATCTGATGAATATGAACACTTTCTGCGCCGATCTGGTATTGCCTGGTGGTTAGAACGCTCGACTCTTAACATCTGTGAGTCGTGCAACACGTGCTTAATATATTAATATTCAGCGTACGTTCTGGAGAAGCAAATCGAACATTACTCACTGATAAGTAGTTTATAATGTCTACTTCAGTGATAATATTATCTATCCAAATTAGTATTTTAAATTGACGTTCAACAAAACCAGCTAAAGATGGTCTATACTAAAATACATTGTCTTGTCGTAACATTATGATTAAAGGAAAAATCATCAATTCTTTAGATTAATTGATTACTATTCAATTAATGTATAATGGAATTAAACCAGTAGAAAGTTTAGTTGTTGTAAAGCGCAAAGCTACACAATGGGTTACTTGTGCTCTGTCCATCATGGGTATCGAAACCCAAAATTTAGGTCACAAAGGCAGACTAAGTGAAATACATTTTTACAGTTGACTGACCTGCACGATTGATAAAACTACTGCTCCTACATCTGCGCAATCAGATTTCGTAAGAAGTATCGAATTATAATGGGCCACACGCTAATTTGTGGATCTATTCCACCAGGAAATATTTGCATTTAAGTGCCTACATTCAAACTTCATTTTTAGAAGTGACATTTTCGTTCAGTTGACGATTTATTGGCATTAAGATTACCTTATTTATTTGACCACTCACAGAATAAAAACAGTTTCAATGAAATTAATTAGTGAGAGAGATGTCTGACTTTATATTCATATTTAGTGTACTCTGTTTTAAATCATAATTTCATTGTCAACACCATTTCTACGAATATGATCTAGATTTATATAACTATCGCCATTTTAAACAAGAATTAGAAAATAATTATAATAAAGTACAATGTCATTCACAAGTTCGAAATACTTGAATTTTCTTGTATTTACTGTGTTGCAAAACTTGTGCTAGGGTTTCTTAAAACAACCGAACTTTTGTATCCTAGATCATGAAACTACATTGACGTTTCAGCTGAAGACTTTTACAAAAAATATGTTTCTCGGGATGTTTAACCCTTACATTTGCGAAATATTTCGCTATATGTCTTATTTGAAATCAACTTTAGTTGTTATAAGTTTAAATCTCACGGATTAAGGTTACTCTACGTTCTGTTTTTAAGCCTTGCAACATTGGCACCAATCTTTTGTTTTCATATTTACATCTTCTGAGTCTGTTTCTTGCATGGGGGTCTAATTTGTTAGATCAAAAGTCTACATATATCGTGCTAAGCACAATCAGTATGTAAAACATGCTAATACTACGGATGTCTGGGGCATGCCTCCAGAAAATGTTCATAAAATAGGTGCTACGAGACTAAGTCTGGAAGCAATCTTGCACGAAATATAGCTTAAAGAATTGCATAGCTATTCACATAAGCAGCTGCGCTATAACCATATGAGCATAAATTTTCTACGTCGAGTGGACTTTCTTACTTGAGTGGACACATAGGCTAAACTGTCAGAGATCACAATGTTCAGCATAGTTACCCCAGAATTAAAACTACTGATCAAATAAAGCAACTACTCTGGAACATCCGCCGCTACTCATAACCAAATAACGAGATTGCGTCACAGTTACAAAGTCCCTCAAATGCAAATGCAGTGCTTGTTCATAGACATATCGCGATTCAAACCTCCCGATCTCCAGCCTGGTAAGCTAACCACGGGCACATACTAGTAGAGGTCAAACTGATCTAGTTTATTGACTCAGCTGTTGAAGAGAGAGCAAAAGGTAGAGAGTAAAATTCGGTTTGTGTATAGTTACTGTTGATATTTGATTCATTATTGTTGGTATACAAACCTGGCGATTACACATATATATGCCTATATGCAATGTATTAATCCTTAGACATACTAAAAGTTTTGTTGTTGTTTTTTGTACGGACTCAGTAAAATAATTCGCTGTAAGATATAGTTTGAACTTGTATTCATGACAAAACTTCTAAGGCCATCTGCTGCCGTCCCCCTACTTTCGTACTACCGATCAGAAGGAAGTCTGTCAGCAATACCCTACCATTCACAATAAGGCATTATTTCTCACTCTGTTAACGCACCCACAGCAGGGAATATTCCGAGGTACAGCACGGACTCGAAATTCACAGTTCTAACATACGCTGAATCTAGTTTGAATTTTTTTTTTACTCAGTTCTTATGAAAACTAATATTGAAAATTTCAAAACTTCCAATTTTATTTATAAAATTGCTACATCAAATGTATACTTAGCTTATATCATAACAAGTCGTATCTCATTAGCCTATGCAAAGTGTATTTGGTACGATATAATAGTTATTAATTCAAGTTCTTAGTTACCCATCGTTGAAAGTAAAGACTTACAATAGGTAGTCATGATGCTCGAACTATGGCTAATATTCAGATCTTGTGTTAACTGAGCAAATATAGAAAACGACAAGAAAAACTATACACTGACAACACATTTATTTTGTACAGCTGATGGTCAAACTTGCAAATTACATGTGCGTTGAAAACCTTGACCGGCGAAAAATGTCATGAGATCTCAAAGAACGTCTATGCCAACAATACATTGATCCGAAGATCATGATTATTTATGAAAAAACAGCTGATTCTTAATAACGAATAATTAAACATTAAGTTCACCATATATAGCTGATGTCAGTTATTAATTTGAAAAGGCTTTCGTACTGTAAAAATCCTTTACACACACACACACACACATCATATCTAAAGCTACCTTTTCGCAGCCACGCCATGATTACAAAACTAGATTTGGATACGTTGTATAAACAGAAAAAATTCATTGTTACATAATAATTTAGCGTTTATTCCCAATAAAATTTTAGAATAACCGTATATTCAAGGATACTTAATATTGACTTACATCCTTTTTATCAGAAATATCGTCTCTTACCTCCAACACGTTTTAGACCACAACACATTCTCGCATTCCTTCGTTTCTTCTGAAGTGTTATTAACTACTTCAAATGATTATGCAAAATTAACATACCAATCCATTTGCTTATATGTCACTACTCGTAAAAGTACAAAACTTGGGAAACTTTTTCTCATAGTATAAAACATTTAATGCGCAATATAAACACTGTTTTTATATAAAAGTTCCCAAAAGTTTGAGATAGTCAACACCTTTCTACTATAACAAGAGATCATAAACAATATTTCTACTAAAGATTTTAGCTTTAATTTTTTTACAGCTTAACGAACTATAAACTTAACATTCATTCGAGTCATAAGCTATCTGATTAAAACTAATACTGAAGCTAAACTATGATTTTGGTGATGCAAGCCCTTCTGCGTTCTTGAAGCGAAAACACGAAAATTTAATCATAAACGTAAATAGTGGAGCATAAGTTTACGATCTCCTTTAACTAGGAGCCATAACAGTACATCATATTTAAAATATACCCATAAACATCCAGCTTTCTTCTCCTGTGTAATGAAACTCGAGGACGGTTCCATGCACATCTACACTGTAAGTATTCTCTTTTTTATATTATTTTTTACATATAAACATAAGCAGTTTTATTCATATTACTGCTGACAATCACCTTTTATTCTTCAAGTTACAAGCAGAAATAGAAAAATCCAGTCACTTTTTACTAGTGTTTGAAAAAAATAGCGATTCTCTTGATTATAGCTGAAGCACCAATTACATTTTTTGAAAGTTGACAGTTGCATGACTGTCTCAATTCTTCTCAATTTACACAAGAAAATTATGATGTCACTTCTCACACACTCAAATCATTTCTGAATTTTTCGTTTAAGAAAAGCAACAGTTTATTTCTACCACAGAGAAGACGGCGACTTCACAATGACAGATGAATTCAGTTAAAGAACAAACTCAGATTGACTAATTACATACTGTTGCCATGTTAACCCCTTAGAAACAGTTTTATAGTTACTCATTCCGAATTGAACGCATCTATAATTTTCATCAGTAGCTAAAGATTATTCTCTATAGCAACCAGAATAAAACGTAAAACAAACTTGAACTGATATAATTTCTGATGGATGCTCACATGTTCAAAGTGAAAATATACCAGGAATTGAAGACAAAAAAAAATGTTACGACAAAGATTACATGTACCTTATTAATTTTTTATAACTAACCTTTTGGTAGAAACACAATTTTAAAGTTAATAGGAAAAAATCACCGGGAAGACTACAGTATTCAGAAACAGCATTAAAAAATCCAAACAAGATACTTGCACTAAAATAATATTTAAAAAAGATGAATTCTGATAAACAAACAACAGGTTTTACATTAAACTTTACAGCCTTAATTTGAAGATTTGTTTGCAATATTACACAAGTTGTTGATGATGTTTTATATAAATATATACATGGGGATAAAATTGTCATTGTTTACTAAAAGTCTCCTCCACCACGACTGCTTTTGTTTGCGCTGTATAGAAACAATTGAACAGGAAATGCCTAGAATGGTCTTTACTGGTTGAAACTTTTCGAATTTTTAGTAGGTCTAGTATTGAGAATTAGTTTAATGACCGAATTGGAAAAGTGAATTTTTTTGTAGTTTGTATCACCTCTTGACCCTAAGAAATTGTTTCCGTACGTAGTTTTTACAGTGAAGATGTATCAGTCACATTCAAAGAACCACAAGCATAACCCTATCTGCTTAAACTTGCACATTACATATATATATATTTCCGTTTCTAAAGTTGGTGAGCTTTAAACAAACGATGCAGTATGTGTGTTTTTGTTGTTAAGCACAAAGCTACACAATGGGCTATCTGTGCTGTACCAACCACGGGTACTGAAACCTGGTTTTTAGCGTTATAAGTCATCAGACTTAGCGTTGCGTCACTGGGGGGTCGTTATGGTGTATTACAAATAAAACAAGAAAGTTAAATAGATCTGTAGATTATTATCTACTGCATATAAAGTATGAATACAAAAAATTACCAGGGTGTTCAAGTACCGTAACTCAAAAACCTTGAATTAATGAACAATTCTTCAGAAGTATATTTGTACTAATAACTAAAACATTTACCCTAATTCGTTAAAATGCACTTGAAATTAAAAATGTTATACACAAAAACTAGAGACTAAACTATTTTATAATAATAAATGACACATCTTACTTTAAGCATAATTTCTATGCATTAGAATTTGAACAAACGAAAGATATGCCTTTCAACAATGAGATCTTTGTCCGAAGTATAACTCACAAGAAAAGTGAGAACAACATACTTAATAAACAAGAACATAAAATTTGTTGTCCAAATTATGCGTGTTAGTAAAAACATCTACGTCGTATTTTAAGAACGAACTTATTTCAGCCACATTTTACAAGCAATTCGATCAGGTGTTAAGCCTTTATATAATATACAAATACAACACTTTGAAAGAATCACGAATTACAGTTTTAAAACTTAATTTTGTAGAAGCTTCAGTAATTATAAATGAAATAGAATTTCCACATTCGAAATATTCAAACAAACGATTTATCTTTTAGTGAAGGTATCTTTACAGTCCTCAAAAACAAAAATAAACGACAAAAAACAAACAAACAAGACGGTGATAAATAGTACTGCTATTCTTAATCTGATCCAAAATATGGCAATTTTTAACGCGTAAATAATGCAGTGAAGTAGTTACATACAGATACTATTTACTCTCTACTGTATGTTTTTAATTATGCTTCAGCAAAGGTTTGTAAGCAGGCTATAATAGCCTGAATAGTAGTTGCAATTATTCTTGGTTCAGTCACACTGTTGATAAGGGGTAAGATTACAATGCAAAGAAAAAATGCAAGTGTCATGGTGACAGACGGCAGAGTTCACACAACCCTTAAAAAATTACTAACTGAATTCACATTGAGAGCTGTTGATTTCAGCACCACGAGAGATGCTCCAAATCAGAAGTTTTCAATATAAAGATAATGATGAGCTTTCAAGTATCTCAAATGTAATTATTAGGAAATTCCATCTCGGTTTAAAAATCTACTTATCTATGAACAAAAATCAAACAACCAAAATACTTTAGTTTAGAAAAGACAAAGTAAAAAAGTCCTAGTACCATAAACGACTACGAGATACTTAATGGCAGATACAGTTTTTGAGAAAAACCTCATGACAAATGTCTGAGTAGACAGGTACCAGTTCGTAGTATTGGACACGGCAAGACGTACTAACAGACACTAGCACATACATATTGATAAACGTTCCAATGCTATATGTGTAAAAAAAGTTGGAGAAATATTTATGTTGGTTGCAATAAAATATCCTCAAATTTAATATTATTGCAAGATTCTGCTGGATTAGGTAGGTTGGAAAAGTCAAATATATAATACTGTTAAAACAAAAAAGAGCCTCAGGTGCTGGCTCACCTTTATGGAGAAAAAAATTACCTTCTCAAGCAAAACAAAAAAAACCTTAATACAACTAAAGCATCAAGAGAAATTTAATTATTCTCTCAAGCTGAAGAGAAGTGGTAATGTTTGATCAGTCTTTTTCATTTCTTAATGGTGGTACATATACAGCATTATGCACAAAAAAGGAAGGGCTATTACTTTGAAATAAATGCTACAAGTCCCTCTTTGTATTCTATAACTACAGTGTAGTTGTGATAAATACACTAAACCTGAAAACTGATTTACAAATAGTTTAAAAATTTCAGTTGCATATCATACCTTTCACCAGAAAATATAATTCAAAGAACAGTCTCTTTTTCCTGATTTTTTCTACTAACTAAAATTTAAAAATTTAGTAAAAGCATATCACTACATATTTTCAAACTCATTCTCATGCAAATCACTTTAGTTTAAGAGATGTTATCTATGACAATAACTGTTGTATCTAACTTTAAACTAAATAAAAATTAATCTTTTTATGTTAAACTATCAAAAACATTATCACATTTCATACAATATCCTATAAGAAAAACTGAGTAATTTATGAAGTTACCATCATTTAAAAGTTAAGACCTTGGAATGTTATGCTTAAAGGCCCTAGCTGCAATAGTAAAGACAAAAAAATTAAAATGTAGGTATACCTTAAATAATTCTATAAATGAAACAAAATATCAGTCACATTTAACCACAGAACTTTGAACACCCTATTGTTGCAGAGCACTTTTAACAATTTACTGTAGCCAGTTGTCAATCCACAGATTAAATTTCTAGCAGCAACAAAATCTTTAAAGCTAAAGTCCTAAGAAATTATTTAATTTTTATTTAATGGCCATACTATGTTATTTCAACATGAAAAACCTTCTGGCATCTTCTCTGAAATGAGACTTAAACAATAAAAGCAACAAACGTTTACATTATACACAAAGAATACAAAAAAAAAAGAAGGTAAATGTAATTACATAAGTATACTAGCCAACTACTCAAAATAATTATGTTAAGATCCTGTTATTCACAATCTATATATCATGTCAACACATTTGTTTTTTGAAACCATTTATGATAATAAAACAAAATATATAACATTTGAGCCATACCTCTGTCATTTCATCCCTTTAAAACATACAGTACACACAGTATAATTTGGAAGTTTCAAAGGAGAACTTCATTTCTGAAGGAATGAAACAACTTATAGTAAAGATCAAATAAGCATGCACAAATATGCTATCAGTAGTACAATGCTGTCATTTCTTTGTTGTTACTTTAGTATGAACATTATATATAATCCACTCTGAAAGTGTCCACTGAACTGCATATAAATGAATTTCTTATACTAAGAATATTCAAATTTTGTTTCAATTTCTACAAAAACCATGTATATCAAATCTGTTACAATGAATAATCAAATTGGTGAAATGGTCTGCCAGAATATCTCAGAAATTTGTGAACATGCTAAAAAAGTAACCCTATATTCGAGGTTTTTTCTACAGCCAAATAGAACACAGGATGAATCTGCTTCAAGGTGTAACAGATTTCTTAGAGTATTAAAATATATAAAAATAACACATTGTTTTCTTTCCTAAAATTCCTATGTAAACATACTTATGTTTGGGATACATTAAAACTTTTACATTTATGAGATTTCAGATATTAAAATTTTGAAAAATTACTACAGAAAACTTCTGATTTTTGTTCACTTATTTCATAGAATGTTTGTTTGTATAAATGTAAATTTGAATATATTCTATTTTAGTTATAATAATACAAGGTCAGTTTACAAGACTAAAACATATGCTTAAAGATTTATAGCACAGATCAGCCACTATCTATTTGTTTTTCTTAATTGTGTATATATGTACAGTATGACACTACAATGTTAATATATCTGCTTTAATTTCTGCATTTTCACTATGAATGTGTACCTTCTATTGTCATATTATGTGCATTGTTATAACAACGTGTAAGTATTTATTATAGAAATATCAGATATCATACTCAAGTTGTTAATGTACCTGTATAGTAAATACTCCTGATAAAGCTGAGTATAATAGCAAATGTAATCTGGTGCCAAAAGTCCTTTCTTTTCAGTCTTGGATTGCATTCTTTAAATTTCAGGCAGAATTACATGAATTAAATGACAATATTTTGAAGACCCTCCTATTCTGAAATAGATACATTACAACAATGATCAATAACTTATTGCTAATTATACTACAACACTATTAATTTAGAATGCCTATAACTACTCTGAGATAACACTTTTAAAATATTTTTTTTGAACAATTTAATTTTTTATCCATAACCAAAAAGAGAAACTCCTACTAAAATGATTTTTTACTCTAGTGAAAAATTCACATAATTCTCTATACTAGTACGAATTACAATTTCACTTGTAACAGATACTGAATTTTTTGTCAGTTATACAATATAAAGAAAAGCATGAATTCTATAAACTATAACTAAAATGCTGCCTCAAAGAAGTTCCATTTATGTTTCAATCTGGCTGTAGAAAAATAAGAGTTAACGTGTACAAATTTAATAGTATTGTGATAATGTATGGAAAGTATAAAAAAAAAATCAAGCAACTCCTTCAATATTTAAAATGTTATTAGTTAATATCCTCAGAATTTTATTACAAAGAAATGCAACATGGCATTATATCTGATACTAAAATTCACCAGTCTTCAATTCATTTATAAAATTGAAAACTAATAAACATCACTTAAACTTACACATGCTCCTCACCTTTTCTTGAAAACACAGTTACACTTCTTCTGATGACAATTTCACTAATTTTGAATCACCACATACTACTCACTACCTGATTGCAATATTTCGTTCTTGAAAGTATGTGAATGATATTTGCAACATCTTTATCACCTTGTAGTTCACAAACACTGAGAATTCCTTTTTTTAATTCACTTATTACTGAAAGTGAGTGGTCCATAAATTCAATACTCTATTTTTACAAAACACGGAAACAAACCACCACAGAGGATTAATAACATTTCTAGTGTAATGCAGAAATACATACTATCATAAAACATACTATTCTAAGGTGTGTAAAAAATGTTTATATTTCATTAGTTAGTAGATTACACATTTTCAATAAAATTATTTTAAATCACTACCCCCATGCTGTCTTTAAAGTCTTCTTCCAATTCTTCTGCAAACTGGGAAAAATCGTCACAAGCCCTTAGATCTTCTAGTGTGGCCTGAAGGTCATCTTCTAATGGTCGGTCATCTAACAAATCGTTTACACTTTTTCTTGTTGAATCTTCTTCCATATTATCACAGCCATTACCAAAACTATTCCACTTGGAATCTTGGCTGACTGAGGTTTGTAGAGGGTCCTGCTGGGATAAACTATCAGATAACACAATATTTCTATATGTTGTAAGTTCATCTTCATGACAATGAAGATTACTCATGCTATGTGGTAAAGAAGATGATGGGAAACTAAAAGACTGATTAACCACTGGTGTAACAGGGTAAGACTTGGAAAAATTTTCCTCGGACAGTTCCGAATTTCCATATTGATCAAGCAAGTTCTGAACCATTTGGTGAGGTGGAACCGAGTGACTGCGATTTCCAATGCTAATCTGGGGTGAATTTTTTAGAAAATTTTGGACTTCTTGTGAAAGAGAATCACACATGCTTACAGTTCCATTAGCAGAATGGTGGTTTAGAACTGATCCAGAAACATGCCTCTGCCTGTTTCCGGACCATAACTGATTATTCTTACCACTGAAGACAGATGGCCACCCAGTTTGTGATGGTATCAGAGAATCAGATTCATCAAGAGCTGAAAGTTGCTGTTTTTCAGGATTCCAAGAGAATACCTCTTGAGACTGAAGGGTTGCAGGAACATTATCTTGAATGAGACCTAAATTCCCACTATCTTCATTTGCAACAGTGATTGCCATGGGCTGATCAGCATTTTGAGTCTCACTGGCAAGATCCATACTAGAAAAACTTAAGAATTCTGTTTTAACATGTTCATTAGGAGAGAGAGGACCTGTAACTGGAGATAATGGATTTAAACTGGAAGATGAATTGTGGCGCGAACGAATTGTTGGTGTTCCTCCTAAAGAGCAAAAGTTAAAAGGGTCTTGAGAAGAATTCTCTCCTATCATTGGGGACATTGGAGCACTTCTTGGAGCTGCTAACTGTGAGATGGCAGGTTGCAAAGATGGTGGGCCACCTGGGCCTGAGCTGTGTCTTGATCGCATTATATGACCAAGGTGGCTAGTCTGGGTATGCATAACAATAGGTCCTGCACTAAATGTGACAGTCTTTCCTTGACTTTGGCTAGAATTGTGTCTAAGTCTACTAACAGGTGCAGGGGTTGCATGAGGTGATACAAAAGGAGAATTTGTAACAGAAGAAACACCAGAATCCATATTTTGAAAGGGAGTATGCCTGGCTGTTCCATATGAAGTTTGCCCAGAATTGTGTCGTGAACGTGTGGTCCACGGTATTGGTGTTGAGTTAGGAGAAACAAATGGACTACTTGCAGCACTGGGTGGCTGAGAAGTCCCACTGGCTCCAATACTAGATCCTGTTAAAATACCTGACCCTCCTCCTCCTCTTCCTTGTGAAGGAACTGGAGATGCAGAGATTGGAGTACCTGCTATATCAGAGTACGGGGTTTGGTGAGGTGATATCGGAAGGAAATTAAAAGCTCTTCGTCGAGTGTTTGGACTTGGAGGTACTGAATGCATATGAGCAAAAGAAGCCAAATCTCCTGAAAATTGATTCTCAAGTTTAATATCATTTATGGATAAATCTACCTCATTCTGGATATCATCTAAATTTGAATTAATTACAGTTTGATCAAGATGTTGTTCTTGAGAATTTGTTAATGGGTGTGAATTTTGTGTTTTTGACTGTGAAAGTAGTTTATTATTTAGTAATCCTGGAAAGCATGGAACTATTTCTTGTTCCTCTACAGAGGTTTGATGTGATATTACATTTGTATCAGAAAGTTTTTCAAGATGTTTCATTTGATTTCCTAAGAGCACACCATTTCCTTTGTTTGCTGTCTTCCTGCCCTTATATGACTGTTTCCAATGAATGGTTGGATTTGAAATGGCAGGTCTTAATAGTGCTTGGCGCAGCTCGCTAAAGTTACCACAGTAACTATCTTTCTTCATAATACTATCTTCACCATTTGCATTATTTGGATTATCTATGACCTTTGCTGATCTAAATGACTGTCTTGTATTTCCGACTCCTCGTGTAACAGTGTGTGGCAAATTTTTTTCCAAGAGCATCCTCAACTGTGAAAGCTGGTTGTTCTGGTTACTACTACATTCTTTTGATAGCAAATTGAATGTTGAAGAATGGGCTGCCAAACTCTGACTGGTACAAGGAACTAAAGCAGATTTAGCTGGGTTTGAGAAATAAGAAGCCTTTTCCTGTAGATATTCCATTAGCGCATCACTCTCCAATTCATGAATACTCACTTCCTCATTGTCTGTCTGTTTTATGATACCCCTATTCTTAGGAGTATAAATATTTCCAAGTTCCACCAATTCTGTGTTTTTATTATCAAAAGTTTTTTCTGTACAATTCTGTGACTCCAATTTTGACCAAGGTAAACAGCTTTCATCTTCTGACTTTTCTGTTTCATTCTTTTGTGATTCTAAGTGAGGTTTTTTGGATGTAATAATAAGAGGTTCATTTTCCTCAAAATGTCGTTTGACTGTCTGTTGGCTTAATTCACTAAATAATTCCAAATCTATATTGTTGGTTGCCTTTACTGAGTCTAAGTGAAATTTTAACTCTGCATTTTCATCAAAACTTGTATGGTCCTCAAGTCCACTAATACTTGATTGATTCATCTTTGCCTGTATCATGCTAGTACTAGAGATGCAAGTAAATGGAAGTATTTGAGAACAAGACATTGGATCATTTTCCATTTTATTATTTTTTACCTTACTTACGTCATTTGTTTTCGGTGTCGCAATAGAAGCATCATTGGTAAAAGATACAACTTTATTTGTCACCAATTCATCTGCTTTCTGATTGTCATCACATAAACCTCCAACACTGTAAGTACTTGGTTTGCATAAGGTGTCACATTTTTCGCTAGATGAAGCACTTAGGTGTAAGTTAGATGCCAATTCCACATCTTGTTTTTGATGACTCTCATCTTTATTCTGTATATTGCATCGAAGTACTGACAAATTTCTTTTGAACTTTGATGAACCTAGCCTTGTTCTGCCAGACATTGGTTTAGGTTGGATTTTTTTATATTTCCAAACATTTGACTTTTGACAAGACTGACCACATTGTGACTGAACTTGAACTTGGTGTGAAAATGTAGAAGGCACAATAATGATACTGGGCATCGCTTGAGTTATACAAACACTACTATTATTCCTAGGAATTGGTAATTTGTTTAGTCTTTTGGATGCTTCGTCTAGACTTTGTACAGTTTCAAAGCAATCTTTATTGGTATTTCCCGATGCACTTTTGGATTTTTCCTCATCAGAATTTTCAGGAATTCCTATAACAGATAAAGCTCTTTCCTCTTTTACACTGCTGGCATTAGTTGATTTAGTGCAGGGTTCTGATTTGTGTCTTTCTCGCTTTAATTCATCATCTAAATCACCATATTCAGAATTTAATGTTATTAACTGTTCTGTTTTTATGGTGTCAGTCTCCATATCCCCAAATGAGCTGAGCTTGTAATGCTTTTCTAAAGAGCTTGATGGTGATCCAGATTTCCACTTTGAACTAATTCCTGAAGATTTCTTGCCTAACGAAGACTTAGAGGAGTGTGCTTTAAACATAAGAGCTCTCTGTTCTTGAAGTTTTCGTTTTTGTTCTTTGATGAGCTCTTTTTCCTGAAGTTTTCTCTGGAGATGCATTTGAGTTTCTTTTCGACGACTTCCAGATATATGTTTCAGTAAACCAGTCTGACCTGGAAAAAACAAACAGTACAAACTAAATTCCAATACCTAAATCATTTGTAATACTACCGAATCTAAACTTGAAACATGTCTTTTGTTATTGGAAATTATATGTTAATATTTAATGCTTCTGTACAAATAAAAGTATTCTATGAACTCTCGTGTTATTTATTTCTATAATTATAAATACAAGAAGGCACAAATTTTGCTATTCACACATTTTGATTTTAGGTGGTCTTCTTGTATGTGTGTGTGATTCTATGAGCCAAAAGAAAATAAAGAGGCTACAAAGAATCTCAGTTAATGTTGAATTCACTAAATTTGGTCAATACACTGCATTCAATCAACTTAGAGTTAGGTAAGGCTGTTACATGTGTATTAATGCTTCTAAAGTTCTACTTCTACTCTCTTATTTTCAACCACTAAGCTAAAAAAGAAAAGGCTCAAATAACTCTTCTTGCAAACTTACATAACAGCACTTGTAATATAAGCTACATTTATGCATTTGATTAGAAAAAAAAAAAAAAAAGATTCAGTACGTTTTGTGTTGCACAAATAAAACTAGTATTTCACGTGGATAGAACCTGGTGAGATTAAGCATCAGTCATTTACATATGTGGAACAAATGCTAATGTGATTCCAAAAGAACCATTTTTCAGTTCACAAGTGATAAATTATATTTACAAGTTTATGTGAAGATCTGGCTCACAGATAAATTAAAAAAAAATTGAAGATTACATAGAAACATCTGAAGCATCATTAACTATCAGGCCTGGCTAATATTCAACAAATATCACTAGATGTAATGACGTAGTCTAACCTCATGTACAGCAAGAATGTGTTCATTTGACAGTGATATTGATTATGAATTTGACTTCAAAACTGAAACCGTATAGCACGGATATCAAAAGGATTCTTGTATATACTGAAAATGAAATCAATATTAGTGATAGAACAACACTTTTGAATGTTTTTGTGCAATGAAATATATGCTGTTCTGATCTCAAATGGTGCACAGGCAATTAGTGTGAAATATTTCCAACAAGAAACAAGTTTTGTGAAGAAATTTTCATTGGAATATTTTAAAACTTTCATCTATGCATGTGCACACAGAAAACCATCTACTACTACTATGATCAATTTTGATGCAAATATACAGTAACTGCATTATTAAGAGCCATGGGCTTGGGATTCCCTTAGCAACTTTTAGCTGCAAGTCTTCAGTTTTTTATTTAAATGCAAATATACAGTAACTGCATTATTAAGAGCCGTGGGCTTGGGATTCCCTTAGCAACTTTTAGCTGCAAGTCTTCAGTTTTTTATTTAAAAAAAAGTATTTATCGTAAAACAATATATATGAATACAAATTATTCTTATACATATTTTTGTCTTTTTTAAATCAATATCCTTACTAAATTAAAGTGAACTGAAAAACTCTTATAGATGCTTAAAAATTACAACAATAAATAAAATGCTATTCCAAAACAGATTAATTTACATATCCAGTAGGAGCACAGTGTTTTTACATGCTTTATAATCCACTTTCACTTTATAAGTGAAGAATTAGGAGGATAGCTCAGTGGTAGAACACTTGCTGTGTTAGCCAGAGGTCCTGGGTTCAAGTCCGAGAGTTGTTTTTCAGTTAAATTTAATATTAAATATTTCCATTTTAGAAACAGCAGAAAAAAAAAGAATTATGTCCTTAAAATTAAAGCTAAAAGAAGATTCAGCACAACACATCATGAAAAGTATAACACATGAAGTTATAGCAAATTGCAGCATTGTGTGTTAGCCAATCTATTTGGTATCAAAATCCTGGATATACAATCTTTAATAAGCACTATCTAAAAAAACTAGCCTCTACAGAATGGTGTAGCTAGAATTATATTGTGTACAGTGTGGTACAGGATGTTACCATATGTTTCCTACTTTCCTTAGTTAGTATGTAAAAATTTTTTGAAATTTCTGTATTTTCTTTCAGTTCATTTTGGATGTGGAAAGTCATTCAAGTAAATACATCTTAACTAACTTTGCTTCATGCTAGCTCTGTCTACAACCTCATCCACTAATTGACAATTAACAGTTTCTTTCTGAGAAGATAACACACAACATCCTGGACTAAAACCTGTCTTTACCGTCAGTGAACTGAGTAATAGCCTGGAAGTTTTATCTATCCCAGCACTTGATGTCACATGCAGAATAGTGTTTTGTGTGTAACACCTGGCTTAGGTTGTTGTCGTACGATTTCTATTAAAAGCCAGTTTCTCCTTTGTTTAGCAGATTTGTCAGAAATTTTACTGAACTATAAAGCTGGGCTTGAAATGTAATTTTTAACTTAACTTTTGATTGTAAAAATAAAATGCAAATGAACTGAGATATTAGTAAGATTTTTCTATTATTATTACTTTAACTTTGTCTTAAAGGTTTAGTAGAGTATTCTACTTTAACACATGGTGCTAGACACTGTTTTATTTTAACTTTGAGTCTTAAATATTACATTGTTGTAGTTTACTTTGAATTGGTGTGAGAAAAAGCTCACAGTGAAAATTTCACTTTCTTGACGGTCCAAAATGCTCCCAACAGACCAAACTGCCCATTTTCTCTTATGTTATTAACTGTGATTGTGTTTTTGTAGTATTATTAAAGATTATTATTGTGTAACTCCTGTAATTATACTCTTTCTTCCTAATAAACTCAGTTAGAGATCAGAGAGATAAAAACACACATACCATAATTCATCATCCTTCAAATTTCCATTTAGTTGGCTGTAACTGACTACCTCGAGGACAATATGTGAGCCAGAAAATATCACATAGTAGTAAGGAAGGAAGGTAAATGTTGGAGCCGTGACCAAAGGATATTTTTGTTCTGGGGGTTTGTTTTCTCTCTGAGAAGGTTAACAGCTGGACTTGTGAACATTCCAGTAAAGTAAATTAGTTTGAGCAAATGTGGAGATGCTTTTTTTTCAGGAAGAAGGGTGTATGATATGAAGAGGAATGAGTCCAAGGCTAACACAGAACTACTTGCAGGAAAGGTGGCTATATCTAAGAGAAAACCTCTCCTGGTGCTGTGAATGTCATTCACAGCCATAACCCTGCAGTGGCAAGCTTACGACAAGAAAGGGGGCCAGTTTGGAGCACTCAGAAAGTCTGATGATGTTCTCCATCTGAGACTGAGCCTAAATAGTGTAGGAGCTCAAATACGAATGGAAAACCTTTTAACTCTTTCCATACTGACATCCTTTTCTGCATGTCACGAGGATTTAGTGAGTTACATTCAAAATTTAAAGTACTTTATTATAATGGTATACAAATAAACTTGGTATAATAACATAGCTAATAATTCAAATTTGAATATTATACAAGTTCTAAATTTTATAATGTAATATTAAAAAACAAAATCTTCAATTTCCCCTAGTATGAGAATTGTTACATTTGCTCTCTAGGTATCTTCTCTTCACTGAGATATTTACCAACCCTCCAAGAAGTATGAAATTTAATGTAAATTACTCATTATTTAAATATTGTCATTGCTCAGGTGAAGCATAATTTTTATAGTCCTCAATTCTATTTGGTAACAGAGCCATAAACTAGAAAGTCAGGCCCCTCTTACTATGCCCAGCTGTCACATCCTCTCTTTCACAAATTGCCAATAATTCTCTCTGATGTTTAATACTATATCATTTGTAACCAATAGGAAGTCAAAGTTTCAATTGATCAAATTACGTATTATATTATGTTGGTTTCTGTATATAGAATTGTCTGTTTTGCTTCCAGTTCAAATTTTATTCCCACAGGTAACACATTGACAAGCTTAGCTTAATCTTTAACTGTTCTTGTCACATAATTAGAAGGCCAGAAAAGTTGTGAGTTATAAAACATTATCTGCTTTTTGTGTATTATTGTGTGTTCTTTGGTGCATAACTTAATTAAATAAAAAAGTATTTAGTGCAGTAATACCATTAAAATAAAAAGGTAAGGTTAAGTTTCATTGACAGTCAACAGAAAATAGAACCAGTAAGTACTATATTTCTTGTTTTTTCATGTGTATTCCATATATATTATTATAAAAGTAACTAAAATGTAAAAATTATAAAATTTTTAGGTTAGATAAGGTAAAATTAGGTAAAATAAAAAATGATAACAATTAAAAATTTTACGAGGTACACTTGCAAACAACTTGTGAGTTAGCCAAGTGTATTATGTAATTTGATAAGGTAAGATGAACTACAAGTTTACCATTTGATTTTACAACTTGCATGGTGGGAATATTAGGTAAACACATTTCAAAGGGCAATCAAATAAAAAATTTAAGTAGAAACATTTGTATAGTATTCGATGTTTAAAGCATCTAGGATAAACAAATGTAGTTTCATGTTACAAACTGAAGTCATTCTAGAAGAAAAAAAGGCAATTTAGATATATCTTGCATTTTTTATGGTAGTTACAAAGTTGGTCAAATTGACCAACCTCATATAGAGTTCAGATAGAGAAAATAACAGATAAAATATAGTTTTACTGAAAAAAAAATATTTGAAACTTATTTAGGAGATTTTACAAATTATGCAAATGAAATTTGAGATTTTTGAGATGAAGATAAGTATTTTTAATCTTAAC